GGCCAGAGTTGACTCTGATTTTAATCGCGCCTGGATGTTGTCATTATCTCTAACGGGAATCGAACTCGGGCAGTGCAGTGTCTATTTTTAAAGTATTACTTCTACTCCAAACGTCCATGATTGCAAGTGGGCACACAGCTACTGCTTTATTTTTTAACTTCTATCTTCAGACTTTATTGGATTAGAGGATTACTTTACTTAATTAATGAATATTTTATCCTAGTTCGTATAATAATTGTTGTGGGCGCAAATTGTAATGGTAACGCTTTATATAGCTTAAATTTTCTAGAACAATGTATTTTATTAAAATATCCGGCGCAGCATGTTATGATGATTTTAAAAATATGAGCACAGTATATGCTGACGAGAAGAATAGAATAAAATTGTGTTAAACGTTTATAAATATGTGATTTGTGATAAGAAAGTTCCATAGTTGGATAGATAGTGTAAACTAAGCAGGCTTTTAAATTTCTAGAAAAGAACTACACTTTTTAAGTCTGCTACAGTTGATCAACAACTGTAAGAGTGGCAAATATATTGCGTGTAAGATAGGGCATTGAGAGTTTATGTGCCAAGAATATGTTTGCGAACCTTTCCGTCTATTATATAATACGTAAAGAAGAGTAAAAATTAAATTTATGATATAAGGCTCTGATGCTCGCTTTGTTCGGCTCCTACACAGTAAACACGACAAAGACTAGCCATATTATATTGACTGAGAGGGTGTATTGAGATCCCTGTTTAATTATTTTCAAATATAGAAAATAAATCATTTCTAACTTGATAGAAAATATATGTGATCTTATTATTGATCTCCGCGTCTCTTCATAAGGGTGCTTTACTCGCATGAAATTGTTCTAACAATTTCACTTCAAAACTAGACTTCGCAATGCCTAGTGCAGGCTTCAAAATGTATATTCTGATAAAGTTAAAGGACCGAACTTTGACAAACCAACAACACTTAGTTTCCTCTTGCGTGTATATTGACATCAAAATCGATATATTCCTACCAGAGTTGCCGTATATTAGGCAGTTTATGCAACCATGAAGCACTTTTATTAAAGGTGAGGTTTCGAAAGAAGAGCACCCGACTTTCGGCTCTCCCAGGATTGGAATTTAAATAAAATCATAATGATATCTCTTTCTTCCAGAAGTCTAATTCTTCCTGGAATTACTCCGTTCCAGCTTTTCCCTATTTTGATATAACACTAAGCTAAGTTTTTACTTAAATTTACTTCGTTAAATCTTATTTTTCTTTATTTCCCTGCACCACAATTTACATTATTTTCTTTAATCTTACTCATCCGTTTCAAATCCCTTATTTTTATTTCAGATAAAAGTAATACATGTTCTTGTAATGAGTTGTGTATTTCGGATTCTTTATTGTAAAGGTTTTTATTGTCATCAGTTTCTTTTAATTAGTTTTAGGTCCTACTCGGTTATACCGCCGTGAAAATTATTTTTTTATGAAGGCATACTTTTGCAGCAACAAAGGTTTGTTATTCAGAAAGTTAATGATTATTCTCGTCACCTTATTAGTATATTATTTCCATTTCAATATAGGGGCTACCTGATGCGTTTGTAGAAGGGATAATTTAATACTGCTGTAAACTATTCCGCCGAATTCTTATGTTGTAGACCATATATTTGTATTTGTTAACTATCAAATAATCACTATAACTTTATTAATTTCATCAACTTCATTGCATAGCTTTTCAAACAGAGTCTCTGTTACTAAATCCTATTATTCATACCTAATATCTTCATTCAGTGATAAGAAGCCCTCAAAGTTAACACTTCTGACAATCTCGATTTTTTGTATGCAGATAGGATAAGTTATTAAATTCACTATAAATCCTGAGAAGATCTATTTTTAAATAATTTCCCTTTAATCATGATTTCATAATGAGTAACTCCTTTAGCTAGGAAGGATTTTTGAACTTATATCTTCACTTAAAGTATGAGCTTCCTCCTTTATCGTTATACTAGAAAAATCTAAACATTAGATCCAACACTTTACAGCAAAAGTGTTTTCACCATATCGTAGAGTTACTCCTGGATAAATCAGGGCTATCTTAGATTACTCATACTTATTCATCGACGAAACATAAACCTCTTTTGTTATTAAATAGCAAACATGATTGTTCAGCGTGCGAATAAACTTTCTGTAATATATTGTGACATGACTCTCCATTTCAAAGGGAAAGCTTGTAGGAAGGAATTTGTGATGTAGTTTCACCGGATACCGGAGGAGGATAGTCGCGTTGGGAAGACAGTTGAATTTTGCGAAGAATTCTCCGGCTCACCGTCCTGCGACCTCGATAAAACTGTGCTAATCTTTCGTCTGTACTCGGACAGACATCATCAGAGCAAGATTCTATACTTTACGAAATAGAGCAAAAATATACTAAACCAAGAAAAGAAGGTGGCCTGCTGCAATCCTAGTCGCTTTTTTATGCAGCTAACATCGCGATCTTAATGAGGCCTCCCCTGATTTGGTTGGCTACTTCAACCTTACTCTACATATCTGCAAATGAGTGAAGTTACATCCTGAATCGGAAGTCCTTACACAAATAAACTAATGCACGATCCTATAATGTTGTGTCATGTTTGGGCCTGTGCTATTGTACATTGTGTGTATGTCATCTTCATATCAGGGGAAGTGTGATAGTCCTAGCTATACTCGAGGCTGATCCAGCCTCCTTCTCCTGTTCAGTATCTCTCTCCCTATCCTTAAGCCTATCCAACGGCCACAAATAGTTCCTACTCAGTTTTCTACACTCGTTCCTTTTATTCAGTACGTTGTCTGTCTTGTTCATCTTTGTAGACTACCTAATCTTACGCTTTGAGGTAAAGTCCCAGTAACCCGCAAAACGTTGTGTTTTGTACCAGCCTATTGTGTGTCCTATATTGGCGATGTGTTCGGCGAGCTCAGATTCTTTAGAACCCAGTTTATCTTCCTCCTTTCTGTAATCCTTATGCCGCTTGCTGTTAAGCACTCTTCCGTACCTATGACTTAATTTTACATTTCTCGATTTAATATTGACCTCTAAATAATCCTAAAATTTATTTTCCTCGAGAATTTTCGCTGCCATATAACCATTTTGTGGCTTTCGAACTCTTTACTCACTGAATTTTAATAACATGAGACAACTAAAAATAGACATAAATCACACTTATATAAAATGTTTTTGACTAGAGAATGTTTATTGTAGTTTGGCGTAGACAAGCAATAGAATGATCCTAGTTTAATAGAATTTGGGTCATTGGAAATAACTTAAATCTGACGGATCATTTTTTAGCAAATTAACTTCCTAATCTCTAATTTTGCTAAACAAGTTACCAGAATAGCGCCAGCGGTTGTAGCTGCTCAGTGGACAAGAACTGGGAAAAATTAATGGCTGTGAACGTAGATATCATCTTCTTGTAACCAAGATTAATTTCCAAACATACAGCCAAGCAAGCACATTTTTGCCTTGATGCATTATTTTCTAACAGATATCACCAAACAACCTTTAAATGCATATCCCTTCTGTAATCCATTATGGTAAGGATAATATATGCACGTCTCTATGTCGGAAGGCCATGTGAGTAAATTATATCTGGGCGCTTATAAAGTTCAGAAGTGTTAGGAACCACAATACATAATAGATACGCATATAATTGCAGATTGCAAAGGTTTATTAGCATTAGAATGTTTTTATTCGAGTAATACTGGATAGAACAAGTATAGGCCCTAATTGTTTTGAGATGCTCATTATGGAATGTAATTAGTTGTGACAAAACAAGACAAGACAAGCGACTTTAATAAGCTGCAAATCTGTACTGATAATGACGTATCTCACTGGCGATTCTGACAAAACGTTTGGGAATGTGCCAAGTCAATGGTCCGATTCTGGAAATCTCGAATACTCTGGCGGAGGACACGGGACAAGGTACGCTCCACAAGGTCTCTCTGACGCAAAAATCGCTTAATTCTTCATTAGGATTATAGAAAATGATACATATCCAGTGGTGAATAATTTAATAACACAGGCAAGTTAGCCCTGCTACTCTTGAGTTATATGGCATGCATTGAACTTATTTTTGATACGATGGAAATATTAATGATTAAAATATATGCCTCACAAAAATCCTTGCATTTTTCTTGAAGATATAGAAGCACATTTTTCTACCAATAATTTTGCTCAATTATAATCAGATAATTAACTAAGTTGGTTAATAATCCAATATATACATTGTCTCCATTAGGCGAACCCCGAAGCCTTAGGTAAATGAGCATCATTAATTTGGATGAGCCATCTAAATTTGATTCGCATTTATGAAAGCATATTAGTTTTATAAAGGGAAATTAATAAATACAACTTTTGTTGGATGGATTTCAAATAATTTGCTGCAATATTTGATATTTAAATTTCTTTTAAATACAAAGCCCTGTCATTCACTTGCTATGGAAATTCAAGAGCAAAAGAAAGACGTAAATAACCAATTGAGGATATTCATTATCCACAATCTGAGTTAGTTTTAATCATCCTTTTATCATCCAGTATGTTATTTAGCTCTAGAAAGTCATGGACTTTGTTTAGAATTCGTTGAAATGGATAATGGATATGTCTTGATTACCCACTATTGTCAAATCCAAATATAATTATTTAATTTTGCATGCATTTAGATAGTTAGTTTGACCATTTATGCCGACACTGCAATCTTTCCAGAATATATATTTTTGAATACACATTCCTTCAATTGATAGTGTGTTAATACTAAATTATATGAGCCATAGCTTTCATCACTTTTAGTATGCCTTTGCACTTTTACTTGTCAAAGTGCTTAGCGCATTAATGCATTGATATTTTATTGATAGTATGCAACTCCATTGATTTGAAATTGACCTTTTATTTCTTATCTATTACCGTCACTTCATCAGGATTGGCCAGAAACAACAAACATTTTCAAATCCAGTTGTATAAAAAGAAAAATGTCCTTTATTCATAAGAGCTATGACTCCCAGAATGTTTGAGCCAGGCTGTACATATAAGGTAATGAATCAGCGATTTGCTCTTAAATAAGTATACCAGCGATCAGCTTAAGCAAGTCTACAAGATATATTAATGATATTTGTCTACTTTTCAGGATTAAATTCGCAATATTTTAGGCGGCTTCTATTGCTTGATCTTACTCCTTAATTTATTATTATAAACTTTACTCATATTTTGGTTTTAGCTCACTTATTTTAATCGGCGTGGAATAGCTGAAATTGTTCGAATACTTTTCAATTATGTTGGACAACACTACGAAGATCAACGAATTAGCTGTGATGATTGGGCAAAACTCAAGGCCAATTTAAAATTCGGTGTATTGCCGGTACTTGAAGTTACTGCCGCGAATGGGGTAAAGCATGAGCTGAGTGAAAGCATGGCTATAGCCAGAATAGTTGCTAAGCATTACGGACTTATGGGAAAATCTGACTGCGAATACTACTTAATTGAGTTGGCTCTCGGAATTGTAAGTTGGAATACTAGACTAATTTATAACGATAGCTTTTCTGCAAATTTTTCATCCAATTACTTGAATATCACGATAAAAGTTGGAAGATTTTATATTTCAACGTTTTAGCGAAGAATTCGTCTGTTTTATATCATATGCCCATATCATACATCATATGAGGAAGTATAGTTAATTTTCAAATGCTTTCAACTAAATAGTTGATATTAAAGTTGGAAGTATAACAAATATTAATACCTTAAATCCAAATAATTTAGTATAACAGGATATGAATACCTAAGACCTCTTCCCATTATAATAAGTAAATTTTATTCGAGACTTACTGATAACTTTCAAAATAATTTGACATCTATATTTAAGTGAATTAATTTAAAGGATATCACATTGTATCACTCCACCCAAAACCTGGATCCCGTCAAGAGTGAATTAATCAACACTTCCAGGTTATAGTCTCTACTTAAATCTATTGTCTGAAGTTTAAATTTTTATGTACTGCTGACTTTCGCAAAATGAAGATATGATTTATGACAATAATTAATTAATTACTAGACATGAAATACCTTATACAATAAATATAATAATCTGTTTAAATTGATACAAGCTTTTAGAAATTCAAAATGCTGTTTCTGCAACATTTCACATGTCAGAAGAAAAGAAAGAAGCTACAGTATGGGAGCTAAGGCAAAACAAACTTCCGGTATTATTAAAAGTAAGTAACAGTATATAATAATTGTCTGTAATACGCTAGACACCAAACAAATTAAATAAAAATATTTCCATATCTGTTGCTTTATGAATGTTATAAAAGAAATAACCAAAATGTGGATAAAGGCAAACAAAACATAGCTATATTATTTAAGTACATCATTATTACTTGATTATTAAATTTATTATTTATTTACATCCTTTAAACATTTCCCATTATCACCACCAGAACCCTAAAGTCTGCTTATAAGACACGCGATAGCTTAATTATTTGGTGATGAATTTACAGATTTTGCATTACGGAGCTTATAGGAATTCTATAGTAGTTATGTTAACTTCCCGAATATTTCCTTATCTTTGTCTAAATATTAAATCCAAAATATGAAATTGATAATTTTAAATAAATAGTCGAACTTATCTTCTAAATTCGAGTTTTTTTGCTTTCATGATCGATTTCATGAAAGTTCAAAGGTGATTACTTGCGCGGCTTACTTCATAAATATCTAGAAATCATCAAATATATAAATATAATTAGGTATTTTCTATTTTATTTCCCAGAGACTGCAAACTGCATTAAAACTTCGAGAAGGAAACTTCTTTGCAGGGCACTCGGTTACGCTTGCTGACCTCCTAGCAATTAATACTTACGATGCCGTAAGCGTCATAACTCCAACGCTTATAGAGTCTTCATTCTCCGACCTCGCTTCTCACAAAAAGGACGTGGTTTCTACAAGCAAACACTTGCAGGAATACCTAAAAAATCGCCCAGTCACGCCATTTTAGGATGTGTTCGATCATTATGCAATTTGTTCTTCAAGTGAAGCATTTTTACATAATATAACTGAGGTAATATGAATGAGTAAATATATCCATTTGACAAGCGCCTTCCCTCTTGAAATATTTTGATATAATCTTAAATCTTGCGAGCAATTTTATAGGTCTAAGCATTTTTGCCTTGTCCTGGTATATATTAAGAAATTCCCTTTTGAAATAGCATGAAAAATTTAAATAAAGTAGTATAACATAATATTTCCATAAAAATTACCTCAAGAGGCTAGGAATCTCGACTAAAAGTTCAACAGGATACTTAATGTGGTGACGAATGATTTTATATAAATAATTCTTGGACATAACAACAGAACCAATGAACTAAGGCACCACCTACTAGTCACCGATTAAGAATTAAATGCAAGCTTTTAATGCATACACACATTTTATAGGGAATTATAATTCTAGTCGACTGTGCTATATAACTGATTAAACGGAAATCCACTAAAAGAAAATATCAAGCTAATAGAAAATGGACTTAGCCTCTTATGTTGGTACCCTTGAAAGCATTTGTTGTGATTTTAATGACCACAATTTATTTACAATATAAAAAAATGAAATTATAAAATACAACATTTTTATTAGCCTGCTTGTACATTCCAATAAGGTAATTAAAGACAAAAGAGCAAGACAAATAAAATAATATATGTATAGCAAGAGAAACTGGATCTCAAAGAATACGCTAATCAAGTGATATTGGAAGAGTTTAATTTCTTTTGACAAAAAAAGTGGCAGAACTCATCAGATGGTCAGATAATTTTGATTAATGGCCTGTGCAAATATGTAAACATTGCACCGTCCCGCGACCCCGATGTTTCCGTCATATGACATAAATTGTCATATCAGGAAACCATTTTTTCTGAAAATTCCTCAGGCAAAACATCATGAAAAATGATCTACTGCAATTCTGCATATTTTGTATAGCTTGATCCGTTTCATTTAATGAACATGCTCATTATTTGATTGCTGATAATCCACGTTCTATACGTGCTTGCAGTCAATTAAAGTGGCTGAAGGTGCTGCTTTAATTGGATGCGGTTGTGAGTAAACAGTTTATCCACACCTAAATCACTTTTAATATTGATTATTAAATGTAATAGCCCTTAAAAGAAATAGGCTGAATGCATATCATATACTGGTAGTATCAAAGCCTACTTATAGAAAGAAAAATCGGCTTAGTAGAAGGTTCACACAACTTTGCTTCATTGACGATCCTACCATAGAAACGCGATATGGGAAAGGTCTAGGCTTCTTTAAAATTTACGTCTGTTCCGTTAGTTAAGGGCATTCATGAAAGTATGACGTAGTGATTAACACGCCAGACTCTACTCTACTCTATCAGAATTCGAGTACTACAAGGGTGCGGATGAGTACTAGACGAAGTTAAAACTACACTTCTCTCAGAATAAGAATAACTTTAGCAAAACAAAGCTACTTGAGATTCAATGAAAATGTGAA